TCACGTTACCGGAACGTGTGCTACTTACTGGTGAAGCTGTATTACATGAATCAATGTAATGCATGCCCAGCTCTTTGGGAATTTCGAACCAGAAAAAAAGTACGAAAAGGACCTTTATCGCTGAATGGTCTTAAGAAAATGATTAAGAAGTTCGAGGAAACGGGATTACTGACCATTCGCGTTGGGAGAGAACGTAAACCAGTATCAGAAGACGTAATAACTGGTGTGGTAACTGCAATTGTCGAAGGATCGCTGAGAACCATTGCTGGTACTAGCAGTGTCCGGGGTGTAGCTCAACAACTGGACATGAATTATTCCACGGTATGGAGAGTTTTGCGGCGCGTTATGGGATTTTACCCCTACAAAATCAGCTGCTTGCACGAACTGAAACCAAGTGATTATGATAAGCGAGTGACATTCGCTTTATCGTTTCTTGCCAGGGTAGAAATTGATGATGCTTTCCAATGGCGCATTCTGTGGGGAGATGAGTGCCATTTTTATCTGAAGGGGTCCGTAAACACACAAAATAGCCGAATTTGGGCTTCTGAGCAGCCCCACACCTTGCAGGAAATCCTATTAAATTTTACAAAAGTCACTGTTTGGTGTGGTTTCACAGCCGAATTCGTAATTGGGCCATTCGTTTCTGACACCATCACTCCGACAGGACCCCAAACGTGCACCATAAATGCAGAAAGGTACCACGAAATGCTGCAAACCTTTGTTATTCCACAACTTCAGCAAAGAAACCGTCTCCAACAGACAATCTTCATGCAGGATGGTGCTCCGCCACACATTAGTAATAAGGTAAAGCAGCTGTTGCGCCAAAACGTCACTGGTGATAAAGTCGCAGTTTTCCAGTTGCATGGCCGCCTCGTTCCCCTGACCTCACGCCATGCGATTTTTGGCTCTGGGGTTATTTGAAATCTCAAGTTTATGTTGGTGGAGTATCAAATTTGTCTATTCTAAAGGACAACATAACAAAGACAGTGCGGAATATTCCTCGTGATATGTTACATACGGCTGTGGAGAACGATGTGCACAGAATGCACGTTGTTATTTCTCAGAACGGTGCTCACATTGAATATGGTCTAATTCAGTGCTCCGCAACCGGTGTGCCGCGGCACACTGGTGTGCCATGAGTAGGATATAGGTGTGCCGCAATCAAATACATGTATTTGACATTTTGCAATTTTTTATCATGTATTTAATACACAATGACAATTTTTTTCCTTAACACTAGAAGCGCCAAGCTTTCTCCCTAACTAGAATCGCCAACGGCAGTCAAATTGACTGCTCAACGAATTAATGTATATATTCAAATGTAAATGCTTTATAATGCTTTTAAGAATATTAATTACAGTTGTTGAAGAACTTTAAAGAATAACAGATTATTTTAATAAAAAATAGAGGATATTTTATTATAAATTTCAGCCTACCCTTAATAAAACACATTTTACAGCTTTTCGCAATTTTTACAAAACACAACTTTTTCAATATTGGAAGTGCATTTTCCACACACATAATATGACGGCACATAATCTGGCGGCAATTCCAAGGGGATAAATATGTACACACATAATATGAACATTTTTTACACACATCACTTGTTTTGTTGTTGTTACAAAGTCCAATCTGGCATTGATGTCCTTTCTTCGAGAGTCTATTGCTAGATTTGGAAATTTCCTGGGGCAATTTTGCGGTTTTTCTTCTGTTTAAATACAGCTCTCTTAACTCCTCTGCTAATTGAAATAGGAAATCGTGCCTTGTAATATTTTTATCACTCAATTTATGGTAGATAATGTAGACATTCGTCCTTGCTAAATCCAGCATATTATAGAAAACATGCACGGGCCATCTACGTGAAGCAGCGCGAACAGAATATTTACGTGTCATCTTGTCAACGATATCAACTCCACATATGGTTTTGTTGTAGAACTCTACTGTTTCTGGAAGCTTTTTCTTATTTTGTGAGTCTATATTTACACTTTTGAATGTAAGGTACTTAGTAGTAGGACATTTTTATTCCACTTTCCTTGATGGACAGTGAGCGTAGTTTCACCATTCTTTAGCAAAACTGTTTCAAATAGCCGGGTTTTTGATTTCCTTACTTCATGCGGAATTTCTTGTCGATGTCTTCTTACTGTGCCGACAAAACTTGTGTTTTTCATTTTAAGTGTTCTAGCTAATGATAGTGAGGAAAAATAATTGTCCGTTGTCAAATTTCGACCTGAATTCAGATAATGGCTTAGAAGACGCATTACTATATTATCAGGAAGACTTTTAGTTTCACTTCTCGATGTATTTTTTCCAAGATATGGAAAAGCATTGCACATATACTTCGAGTCTACATCGACTAACATCCAAAATTTGATACCGAATTTATCCGGTTTATTCGGCATATACTGTATAAACTTACACCTGGCTTTGGATGAAAATAACTGCTCATCCACAACTAGATTTTCTCCTGGTTTATAGGAAATCGCACAGTTCTGTATAAATTTATTCCAAATATCGGAAAAAAGTGCAAAATTATCACTTTCTAAACGCTGAGTCCTAGTTGACTTCAAGTCAAATCTTAGATACTTCATAATGTCTCGAAAACGATTGCGAGACATTGTTTCTCGGAAAATAATGTAATTCTTCTGTAAAATAATGTAATTCCTTCTGTAAATAATCAGTGAATGAAAGGAATGTATATGTACGCCAGATGTTTTCCCAAGAAAAATATTTTCTGAGCGACAGTACCATATAAATCTACCCAGTATTACGAGCAGTCATTATGACTGTTCGTGGCGCTTTTAGGTATAACTAATAATATCTCCGTTAATTTTATTTTCATTCGATCTATATTTGGTACCAATAATTTTCGACATATTTTTGGAAAATACCAAAATTTGTGACTTCTTAAGATAAAGGGTTTTTAAGGAATCCAAGGTCAAATAACGAAAGCAGTCAAAATGACTGCTCTGGCGCTTCTAGTGTTAATAATGTCTATTTTAAATGTTTTTATATATTTCACTGTTGTGTGGTTGTGTGTGTGATTGTAAGTGTGTCAGCATTTGAATTTTTTCGGCACTTCCTTGATAACTCAGAACTCAAAAATATATAACTTTTTTTAAGCGCAGGTATCACATTGATAATTATTATGATTGCATATAAATAAATATGTTATGGTTTTAATTAATTGTAAATTTATTGTAAATTTTGTGTATAAATCAATACATATATACATTAGCTTTTGGTGTGCCACGAAATTCCAGAAAGATTTTTTGTGCGTCGCAGCTGAGAAAAGGTTGCGGAGCACTGGTCTAATTCCTCACCGGGGAAATTAATGTAGTAAATAAACATTAAAAATTTAACTGCACGATTGTATGTTTTGATGCCCCATGCCTTGATTGGACTAAATACCAAGTTTGGTGCCATTTCGGCTATTAGATTGCGCTACAGGGCTCTCCAAACACTGTCACTTTAAAAAAGATCACCCTGTATTTCACAATTATAGAATACTTACAGAGGGCAGTTGGTATACGTGATGTTCAGTACAATAGCATAAATATGGAAGAATTAAATATAGAAGTGTAAATACAAATTCCGTACAGGATACAAATTCAATGCGGAAGAATAATTAATACCTTAGCGCTGGAATAAATACATATTTGTAAACACTTAATAATACTTGGTGGTTGCACACTGGGATGGTCATATACATTGCACAATTACGGAATACATTAAATATAGTAAGTATAAGGAAACCTAGTATAATATAGCTGGAAATTTTGCTGAAGTATACAGATGAATTCATTTAGCTAGGTGAATATCGTGTACTATAACAGGGGCATGGCTTTAAAAGATTTAAGGTATGAAATCTGTGTTTGACAAATAGCACAATTATGAAAATTAACAAAAAATAGAAGTCATAACTGTCTAAGCAATTTTCATTTATCCTTATATCGCTACGCAAAACGCGAGGTTAACATAGTTAATGGTATTGGAATGAGTAATATTCAGCATTTCTTAGGCCTTGTAAATTCGCAGCGTGCTTGCATTTCCTGACATGGAAAATATTTACCATTTAATTCATATCAGCTGATGCTTGCTCTGCTGTTCCTTTGTTCACTTGCGGGATAACTGTCCATTGTTGAAATTGCATTAAATCTCGAGATAAATTATTAGAGCTACTGCTGCTTTCAAAAGGCAGTATGCGCCCATTTCGAAGAGAAGTTATCCAACAAGCAGGTTCTTTATGCAGCACCACCACTTAGATTGACAGATGATGGCAATTGCTGATAATTGACCGTATTCTGTCTTGCTGATGACTGACCGTACTCTGTCTTGCTGCCTCCATCCATTGCATCTTAATGCACGGGTCTCGTTAACACACGAATATACTGGAGCATATTTTAGCAAATATGTTGCTATTCTAGAGAGAACTGGTATTGATATGAGTTCTAGAATACTAGAAAGCTTTGAGATCCCACAATTCTCTCAAGAATCCATCACACATTTAAATTGTGTCTTGAGAGTTCTTCCTGTGGGGCTCAAAACCGATGTTTCTGCCATCCTATTACCTATATTTAATGAAATAGAAACAACGCATTACCATGGTTGTTGCTGAGATGGATAAGGCAAAGTTGTAGCATGTGTGGACAGAAGTGGATATAGAACAGTTATTTGTAGTGTCATGAATGAAAGATACATAAAAACATTGTAAGATCTGTCAAAGCACTTTTCATTGTCATTAATCATGTTGTCTTATCCCATTCAATTAAAACACAGTTATGGTAATAAACGTCCTGCGACCATTATATCTGACACTCTGTTTTTTTATCATAGAGACTAGATATCTTCAGTACGTTGAGAGAATTTTAGACATTTCAGCATTTGAATTTCTTTCAACAAAATGGATAGGAGACCCAATCAGTGTACTAAGAAATTAAATGTGATATGGTATTTCAGTTTCACAACCCCTACGAATAAATAAATATTAATACTATACTCACCGCTAGGTATAAAAATGGAGCCTGAAGGTGTTCGGGCCAAACATGATGCGAAATCTGGGTCATTCTCACGTATCTGATTTTCCGGGGCATTTTCCCCTGAGTTTAGAGCATTATTATTGGCCCCTAAATTCTGAGGACCTTTGCTCCCTGGTTTTCCCATTGAATGTTTGTGGGAAGTGACTATACCAGAAGTATTGTCCATCAGACCTAAAATGATATATATATTATTTCAAATACATATTACAAGCATTAGAATTCACAGATTTCAAATACTGTGCTTTGAATCGCATCAAATTAAACCAACAATTTGAGAAAGGTCTTTGTCTCTTCAAAACGCATAGAAAAAACTGAAATACTTTTTAAAAGGTTCTTTATTTTACCACCAGCTGTAAGGCAGTCAGTCGATCTACGAGGAAGAATAGCTAATCAGCTAAAAGGCCAGTTACTGGAATTATTTTTATTAATCCTGAGCCCCCCACATGACGTCTTATTAAATAAGAAGGCTACTCTAATGGGTTTTACCTTTCAACTAAGTGTGAGTGTTCAAGTTGGTGGCTATTTTGAAACATTGATGAACATATTTAAAATTTAACTACTGCGTTATTGGTTCTAAGATGAAATTAGAAATTCTTCGTGCTGCTAAATATCCTTTCAGAATTCTCAGTTTCTCTTTGAAAACAGTATCAGATATGCATTCTATCTCATTGAGTTGAATCTAGTTGAAAAGACAAATTTACCCCAAAATTTATGCATTTACTTTATATCAATGATAAACATACAAATGGAATTTCAAATAAGTAAATTTTTATTCAATATTTTTTCAAAATAATTTTCTAATACTAATAATAAAAATAATAAAAAAGCAAACAAAATAAGAAAAAAATGGGGAATATCTGTACGTTAAAAACCTTTGAATACAACCCGTATTATGCTATAAATTATTTCGGACAACTTAGAATTAATACGCTTAATAAGAATTATTAGTACTTCATTTAGCAAGTTTTTTATACAGATATTATTACATTTCATGTACTACGGCAGCAGCAGCAGAGTAGGTCAGCCTTACATGTATTCAAATTGAAGTGCTCTAAGTTTGTTTCTAAAGAAAAGAAAAAAAATTGCAAATATATTTAAAGCAGGAAAAAAATGCTTAATAAATTTTTAACTTAAAAATGATTTTAGTGATTAGGACGAGTGAAATCAAATTGCATTTAAATTTTATTAAGTAAAATCACTAAAATTGTAGTTAGAGGAAAGCGACTGACAGTGGTACTCTAATGGTTGGAAATACGTGAATTAAGTAAAATAGCATCGAATCATTCCAAGCATTAAAAAAATTACTAGTTATTGGTTATTTCATAGATATTTACTTATATACAAGAATTTTTTCATCACTCACGAGTTTTCGATTCGTAGCCAGGGAAAAACGGGAAATACAACAAGCTGACAGAAATTTTATTTCTTGAATAAATAAACTATATGCTTGTTGAAAAGTAACTGTTCTGAGGTCTCTTTCTTTTAGGCGGGAATTTTAAGTTGGTTTTATTTTTTAATAATATATCAGAAAGTTACCTTTTAAAAAGAATTAATGTTAGCAATATATCATTACGAATGATTCAAATCATGCGCATTAATAATCGTGCAAAATACGCACTAATTACACAGAACTGCTTACGTCTACAAGGCAGAACCAAAGTACTTTCACGAGCGAATGCCACTTCTGATCCGGTGTATGTGGCATCCGAATTGATTGCATCCTCATCATCTGAAGAATTGGATGACGACAGGCCCGAAAGCTGTTGATGAAGTCTTCGACCACTATCCCTGGGAGGGTCAGAACCCAGCATCCCAGGTTTCCAGTCTTCTCTGTCCCCCGGTGCTTCTCTATTGTGATGACTACCTGAATACTGCTGCTGCTGGACCGGCTGTTGCTGTTGCTCTTGGGATTTCTGTCTGGAACCTAATCGACCTGTTGGAAGAAGAAAATAATTCTATAAACGCATGGTTCTTTTATTGCGCAAACATATTTATAAATAAACAAGAACATACATATAAAAAGAGATCAACAATTAAATATCAAATTCAACCAAGATGTTCCACGAATATACCGAAGAATTATTTTCCATTTCCTTTTCATACCAAGTACATATTCATATCAAGTAATTTCTGTTTGATTCTTGCCATTACCATATTGGCCTAAATATAAGGTAGTCTCTTTTGTAAGGCGATCCTGCCTTATTGAAGAACATAATTAAAGCGCATGCTTACAAAGACAAGTTTACGATATTAGTTGATATGTGGAAACCATTCTAAAATTAAAGACATAATATCTAAGAACTATTTCGAAGTTAAAATAAGTGAAAAAGCTTTCTTTTAATGTTAAAATTAACACATAAGTCGTAAATTACCTTAATTTCTTTATTAAATGTTGAGTTGTGGGTAATAAATGGGTTTGCTTTTAGAAGATGTTGGAAGGAATATAATAAGAGAAAAATGTGTTATAATCTTTATGTTAATGCAACTTCCTTTCTACTGAGATAATTTCTTACTTATTTCGATATATCTACATTCGGGAATAACTTATCGCTCATACAAAAGATTCAGTTTCAAGGAGTTTTGCTGATAAGTTAAAATCTCTGGCAAACATTACTCAGAATAGTTTTGTATGTAATTACAGGCCTACTTCCTATTTGCTGTTGTTTTTGTTGGTTAATCCCACCCATGAAATAAGTGGAATCAGATTTGATTCACACCTAAAATACCGCTAATTTTCAAGATTTCTGTTCACTAAAGAAACGTGATGGATTTAAAGCTTCACCAATTACTTTTGCATAGAATGTCTTGATGGAATGTTTAAAGATTTCACCTAAACATCACATATTAACTCGCCTAAAATGTTCTAAAGATATTAGAACATTTCAGATGAACTGAAACTGAAATACTTTGGCTATAGAAATTTCGGGAAAAAACTGAAGGACACATTCAGATTTCTTATGCAGCAGACAGTAGGCCTAATCTAATTTAGCTATTAGATTTCTCCTAAACAGCTAGCCCAACTTAAAGACAGTAGTTGAATAAATACCACGAGCACTTAATGCGATAAATTTTGAGCTACTAGTTACAATTGCTAGGTATATTTAATTACAAATATTTGAACTGATAACTTCATTATTTAGGTTTCATTATTAATTTTAAATATGAATACAGATTATAATATGTCTGTATAATAACAGTTTAATAACCTTTTTATGTAATGATAGTGGAAATCGCGTCACACTATTTTTTTAATCCATTTATATTTCTAATCATTTATTAACGTTTTTCTTCTTTTGCTAGAGAGAAATTTTGCAAAGAAATTAAACTTACTATAAAATTTCTTCGTCATTTTTTTTAATACAACATTTTTTTGCTCTAGATAGATATTGAGTTTCGTACTCAGATTTTTATAATATTTATTTAATTATTTATTAATGTATTCTTTTGCTAGACAGAAATTTTGCAAAGAAATTAAACTTACTATAAAACTTCTTCGTCACTTTTTTTTTTTTAAATACAACTTTTTTTTTTTTGCTTTAGATAGATTTTGAATTTAGTACTCATTTAATTTTATCAGTTTTATTTTTTTTCTTTTCGCTTTACTGCTTAGAATAAGAGTTTATCGATTGGCTTGCGTTCAAAATCAGTTGCAATGAAATCTGAAATACCATTCATACTTTCAACCTTTTTATTAGTATTTACATATTTTTTTAAACATGCATAAGGTATTTTCTCCCACCTTTCTGCATGCCTTCGTGGTGTAGCGGTAGCACACGCGATGTGTATTCAAAAGGTCCACATTCGAGTTCGGGGTAAGAGCTTGCTCATTTTTCATGTCTCCAACATTAAAAAAAAAAAAAAAAAAAAAAAAAAAAAAAAAAAAAAAAAAAAAAAAAAAAACACCCCACAAGTACGTTAATTCATCACCACCAGAATTTGGCTACTGGCTCCCTTAAACCCTAGTCGTCCTTTAAAAATAAGTAGGAATATATAAGGTATTTTCTCCCTTCTTCCAGCATGCCTTCGTGGTGTAACGATATCACACTCGGCGCATATTCGAGAGGTGTAGGTTCGAGTCCCGGTGAGGGTTATTGCTCATTTTTCACGTTTCCAGCATAAAAAATCCTAATGACTCTACACATGAAATTTTGTAAAGTTCAAGAAATGAATTTTCTTAATTATTTTGTGGTACATAATATTATACACCTATATACATTTAGGAATTTGAAATTCCAACACTCAAAAATATTTCTACTATAAACTTCTGAAATTTTTGAGGGCTAGAAAACAAACGTTTCTCCTTCTTTTAAAACGAGAATGATAAAAAAATGTATCAAGTAAGCCAGTTTCCAGATTTTTTTTTAAACTACCCAGCTTGCACGGTATAATGTCGATCTGGCGTAACTCGCCAGATGCGCGGGAAGTCATCTGAAGGAAATGCAGAATAAGGAAACGATTAGTTAAAAAAAAAAATCTTATTCCTATCCCAGTTTCAAGAATGATGAATAACATGGTGTCTGCTGTTGCCTCGTTTCATTGTATCAGATGTATTTTTTGACGCCCATTCAAGAAAGTGAAAATTTGTCTTATTCTCAATGAAATAACAGTAAATAACTACAAAATATAAAGGGAATTAATGCGCTATATTTCATTCTTATCACGTTCAAAAACCTCTTCGTAAACTCAAACAGCGTAATTGGAAGGTTCGGAAGAAAGACAAGAATCCATTAAAAACTTCAGCTTTTCCATGGAAATGAAAGCAAATAATTTAGGTTTACTATCAAAGTGACTAAGATAAAACTTCATGAGTTTCAAAAAATACACCTCCTGACGCATAACTGCCGACCCGAGATTGTAAATAACAGCTCGGAGACAGCCATTCGGCCACCCCTAGGCTACTAAAAGCGCAGTTAAATTATTGATTTAGAAAGCAGAGTGTGGTAAAATATCGATGACTAGGACCCCTTTACGATGTGCAGAACGGCTTTTGCTAGAGGATGGGCTGATAAAAAGATAGCAGACTCGCAAGCAAGAGCGAATTCTTTAGTGCTCTCTTATAAATTTAAGAAAATGGTATACACCTCCTGGTTAACGTTTTGAGTTATTTAAATATTGAGTCCAGTTTATTGGGTCTGGTTTGACTCTAAACTGTTAATGTCTCACTAGTTACCTTTTACGTCGAAATCTGTGCTGTCATGAACTGTTACTGTAGTAGTTGTACTCTTTGCAGCAAGGTAACTGTTTTAAAGTGAGGCATTAAAAGACAATGGTTAAAATGAGTTCGAAGTCGCTCCAGAGGGTTTGAAAATTGTCCGGTGAGATTCTCTTTATTATATATATATGTGAGAAAGTCGCATATTATATATAAGCGTTATAAAGTAAGTTATTACATGCGATATATGTTAGCGTCCGGGGAAAGCAGGCATTCGACAATATGATTTTTTAGCATTATAAGCATACATGCGTTATTAAAGTGATGCCCTGGAAAGTTAGGATAAGATATACGCAATATACCTTATCGTACGAAAAGCATGCATTCGCCAACATGATGTTTTTGAGTTTTATGAGCGTCAATACGTTATAAACCTTATTTAAAAAGGGATACACCGCAAAAGGGAGGCTAAGCGTTATATGTATTATATGCAACATACATTATCCCACGAAAGGCACAACATGGGACAACATGAAATTTTTGAATGTTATAAGCGTCTATATTTTACAACTGTAACAAAAATGTGTTTTAAATGTTATAAAAATAAGTTATACATCGCAAAAGTGTGTATAAGGTATAAGCGTTATTTGGAATTTGATGTACTGCAAAACTGATTTGACGCAAATGGGAAAATAAGTTATAAGCAGTATATGTTATCGTCTGAAAAGCAAACATTGTATAAAATTTTTTTGAGCTTCATAAGCTTCCATGTATTGTAAGCGTTATGAAAATAAGTTATGTGCGTCATTGATAAAATTTAAATATTTTCAGGAATTTACAATATTATTGATTCCATCACGGAATCTGTAGTACAAGGGTGATCGACTTTAGATATATAAGAGAGAGACAGAAAGAGTGTTTACACATTTTTAGAACGATTTCGATAGAGAATTAAAAAAAAAGCAAATGTTTTGGAACGAAAATTTCTGATAATAGCTTATTATTTGAAATGAGAAATATCGTCTGCTACTTTGAAATTTATTCTCCTTTCAGAATGCCGCTTAATGTCGCAAGCTGTGTATTGAAGAATATGTTTTTATGCTTTCCGAAGAGAAATATTCCTATTTCATAACTCGAAGACGTGGTGAAAGGCATGTATTAAAATTTCTAATTGCAAAATAAGCAGCAATATTAATCGATAAGTGAAAAACTGTCAATCATTTCTTCTACATGGAAAGAAGACTCTAAACGAATACAAGAAAAAGATAAGTACTTCTCTAAAGTTTCTGAAGTTACAGAGTCTCTTTGGAAGCATTAACTGTAAACCCTACGTAGTCGACGAAATAGCGAATTCTCGCTATGGCTTTGAAGAACAGATACTACAGAAGAAGGTTTAAATAAACATTTTTATTTGAACTAAAATAAAGAGATGCACGCATTCGGTGCTCACAAGTAGTTACCACTTGTGGCTAAACTAAATTGAACAGAAAATAGAAATGTAAAAATCACAAAAAAAATTTGGATGGCTAACGACTGGCTTAGTTATCTAACTGCTAAATAGACTGCATACAGCAGAGCCAAGCCTAGAATATCAGTATAATCTGAACAGTGTCTAATACCAACTAGACAGCTAATTTCACACATGTACTCGGAACTAACTCCGTTTGAAACATACTTAGATTTTGCATATTATGTCATTAAAATTTACATTTCGTCAGGAAACTGAAATCAGGAAGAAAAGGAAAGTTGAACTAAAAATAATTGGTTAGAATAAAATAAGG